TCCCCGACCCCGACACCGCCATCCCTTAACTATTACCAGTCATGCTGCTCATCTACCAACCAATACCAATCTCAAGCCACCCAGCCACGACCCCGCCCCCTCAGCTGACCCTGCCTCGCCGACCACCAGCCACAAGCCGTCGCCCGCTCGTCCGATCAGCCCACCTTCATCACCACGTAGCTCCTTTCCACTACCAGCTACACAACCCGCGACCACACCCAAGGTCGTCACTCACCCCACACTATCACCAGTACCAATATCGCTGTAATCGACACCCATCTTCCTCGGCTCATTTCCGCGTCGGCTTGTTTTGTCTAGGTGGTTGAGCACGCCCTCGACCGCCCGACCCCGCACATGCTCCCCACCAACCTCATTGCAAGATATGCCCAATCTGATTTCACTACTACTCTACTACACGCACACACTACCGCCGTGCACAGTCTCCATTTCACAGCTGTAGTATTCCAGAATCCGACTTCCGCCGGCTCAGGCCCAACTTGTTGGCCCTGTGTCCCTTCGAAGGTGCTGACCCCCCTGCCCGGGCCCATCTCCGACCCGCACTCCCCACCATGTCCACCCACAACCACCACACCCACACCACACATACTTACCACCCCTGCAATTATATCCATCGACTTCATTTGCCCCGATACGCACATCAGCCGACGCCAACCCGTCAACAGCATCTCTGCCGGCCGCCGGCTGCTCGCTGCTGACCGCCGCCCACCGCCGACCGACCACCACCGACACCACCGAGGGCAAGCTAGCCATCCACAGGGCATTGGAGACGATGCATGGAGATAGCCAGATCATTAGCAATGCCTACCAGTGCGCCCTCCAACCCAATTCTTCCCTCCCTCCTCCGGCCTTGCCCATCACAGCCCCCGCCGGCCTGCTCGTCGCCAGCCGCCCCTGCTGCCGATCACCGTGCCAGACGACGAGACCACCGGGCTGGCCAGGACGAGGAAAAACAAGAGTGGGCGGGGGCAATCGATAGGCAATGCAGTGGTGGGCTAGAGTGCAGTGGTCTGCATTGTCCTCCAATCCCAAGCCATCGTCCCCATCGACGTCCATCTCAATCCAATCCATCCTGCCCTCCTCCCCCTCGCCGCCCAAGCCCCTCCACCCTCATCAACCACACCCCACACACACCCATCATCCCCATCGCACCCGCCCACATCCACCCGCAAGCCCAATCGCCATACCTACCGCCCCCTCCACCCGCCATGCCTCCCACGTCACGACCCCTCTCATCCCCCCCTACCATACTCATTACGCCCCATCACCACAAACCACCACCCGCACCCCCTACTCCACCACCATACCTTCTATCCCAGCCACAACCCCCACCCACATGCCATAGCCATGCCCACCACCATTCCATCGCGCACCCCGCTTCGTCTTCCTTCTCCTTCTCCTCCTCTCCTCGCTCTACCTCACCCCCATCCTCATCCCCGACCTCGACACCCACACCCCTCAATCATCACATGTCAGACTGCTTATCCTCGAAGCAATAGCAATTGCGAGCCACTCAGCCCTGATCCCGCCCCCTCTGCTGCCCCTGTCTCGCCGGGCACCAGCCGCCAGCTGTCGCCCGCTCGCCCGATCAGGCCCACCTTCATCACCACCTAGCTCCTTCCCATTACCAGCTACACAACCCGCGACCACACGACTGGTCATCACTCACCTCACACTATCACCAGTACAAATATCGCTGTCATCGACACCCATCTTCCTCGGCTCATTTCCGCGTCGGCTTGTTTTGCCTAGGTGGTTGAGCACGTCCTCGACCGCCCGACCCCGCACACGCCCCCCACCAACCTCATTGCAAGATATGACCAATCTGATTTCACTACTACTCTACTACATACACACACTTCCCCGTTGCACAGTCTCCAATCCATAGCTGCAGTATTCCGAAATTCGAGTTTCGCCGGCTCAGGCCCAACTTGTTGGCCCTGTGTCCCTTCGATGCTGCTGACCCCCCCTCCCTGGGCCCATCTCCGACCCCCACTCCCTATCATCTCCACCCACAACCACCACACCCACACCACACATACGCACCACGCCTGCAAACATAGCCACCCACTTCCTGCCCGCCGATATTCACATCAGCCGACGCCAACCCGTCAACAGCATCACTGCCGACCGCCGGCTGCTCGCCGCCGACCGCCGCCCGCCGCCGACCGACCAACGCCGACACCACCGAGGGCAAGCTAGCCATCGACAGGGCATTGGAGGCCATGCATACGGATAGCCACAGCAATAGCAATGACTATCAGTATGCCCTCCAACCCAATCCTCCCCTCCCTTTTCCGGCCTTGCCCATCACAGTCCCCGCCGGCCTGCTCATCGCCAGCCGCCCCTGCTGCCGATCACCGTGCCAGACGACGAAGCCACCGGGCTGGCCAAGACAAGGAAGAACAAGAGGGGGCAAGGGCAAACGGTATCCAACGCAGTGGTGGACTACAGTGCAGTGGTCTGCATTGTCCTCCAATCCCAAGCCATCGTCTCCATCGACGTCCATCTCAATCCAATCCGTCCGCCGCCCTCCCCCTGCCCGCCAAGTACCCGGCCCGTCATCGCTCACACTCCACACACATCCATCAGTCTCATCATACCCACCCACATCAATGCTCAAGCCCAATCGCCATACCCATCATCCTTTCGCCCGCCACGCCACCCACGTCACGACCCCCCTCGTCCCCCCCTACCATATTCATTACGCCCCATCACAACAAACCACCACCCTCACCCCCTACCCCACCACCATCACTTCCATCCCAGCCACAACTCTCACCCCCATGCTATGGCCATCCTCACCACCATCCCATCGCGCACTCGGCTTCCTCTTCCTCCTCCTCCTCCTCCTCTCCTAGCTCCAGCTCACCCGCATCCTCATCCCCGACCCTGACACCCATACCCCTCAACCATCACAAGTCATACTGCCCAATCTCCAACCAACAGCAATCTCAAGCCACCCCGCTCCGACCCAGCCCCCTCTGCTGTCCTTGCCTCGACGGCCACCAGCCGCCAGCCGCCGCCCGCTCGCCCGACCAGCCCACCTTCATCACCACGTAGCTCCCACCCATTGCCAGCTACGCTACCCACAACCTCACCCAATGTCATCACTCACCGTTCACTATCACCAGTACCAATATCGCCGTCATCGATACCCATCTTCCTCGGCTCACTTTCGCATGGACTTGTTTGGCCTAGGCGGTTGAGCACGTCCTCGACCGCCCGACCCCGCATACGCCCCCACCAACCTCATTGCAAGATATGGCCAATCCGATTTCACTACTACCCTACTACATACACACACTACCCTCATGCACAGTTTCCAATCCACAGCTGCTGTATTCCGGAATCCGAGTTCCGCAGCCGAGGCCCAAGCTGTTGGCCCTGTGTCCCTTCGATGCTGCTCACCCCCTGCCGCGGGCCCATCTCCGACCCCCACTCCCCACCATCTCCACCCACAACCACCACACCCACACCACACCTGCCCACCATCTCTACGACCTCACCCATCCAACCTCCGCCCGTGTGGACGTACCTCAGCCGACACCATCCCGTCAACAGCACCGCTGCCGGCCGTCTGCTGCTCGCCGCTGACCGCCGCCCGCCGCCGACCGACCACCGCCGGCACCACCGAGAGCAAGCTAGCCATCGACAGGAGATTGGAGGCCATGCATACGGATAGCCACAGCAATAGCAATGACTATCAGTATGCCCTCCAACCCAATCCTCCCCTCCCTTTTCCGGCCTTGCCCATCACAGGCTCCGGGCCGTCGCCCCGCGTCGCTTCCGGGCCCGCGAATGGATCTCGGCCGAGGCCGCCTACGAGGCCACCGCGCCCACGCCACGCTTTCAATGGCTCGACGTGACCGGTGACGGACGCGCAGAGCTCGTAGCTCCGTTTGCTCGCTCCTGGTTTGGAGCGCTCCACGCCAGCGATCTCGGCGCTTCGCCGGCTGTCGTCAACCTCGCCAGCCCAAGCATTTGCCCGGCCGGCGCCTCGCTTGCATGTCTTGCCCGCATCACGTCGGCGTTCTGGGATGGCGCGGGTGCTTCGGCGCTACTCACGGTCTCGCTGCACAACACGAGCGTGGGATGCGCGGTCGAGTCTGCGCCCATGCCCGTCACCGGTCGGCTTCACCTGGTAGAGGGAGCCATCGACTGCAGCCTGAGCGGCGGCAGTGGTGCTTCGTTTGCACTGGCGAGCACCTCTGCGCACCAGTCGCTCTCCCGGCTCAGCGTTAGTGGCACCACGGTGCCGCTGACCGTGACTGCCGGCGTGCTCAAGCTCGGTGACGTCGCCTTTGTCGGATGTTCATCCTCCAGCTCGGGCGGTGCCATCACCGTCTCGGGCACCTCGTCGGCGCTCTTGGCGCGGCACCTGGTCCTTCGCAACAACATCGCTGCGGGTGATGGTGGCGCGCTGGCCGACGTGGCGCTCTCGGTGGTGGTCTCGACGCTCCTTACCACCCTCGCCGGGCTTCCGCTCCTCCACCGCGGATTCAAGTCGGCCGATGATGTGGTGCGGACGATGGCGCTCCGCGTCGGCGTCGGCGTCTTGGTTTTGCTGGTCGCTATCAATGGCGCCGTCTTTACGCTCCCGCTCTGGCTCGATGGCATTCCGTTTGCGCCTGATACTCTCGCTGTCATGCTCGTGGTCTCGTTTGTTCTCCAGCTGTTGATCAGTGAGCCACTTGTCGCCACGCTGCAGTACGTGGTGCTCGGCGACAAGGCGCTGTACGTCGTCGAGGGCGGAAACGGTGGTGTGGCTCTCTCTGCTGTCGCCCCGGCTCACGACTCGTCGTCGTTGTCGTCGAGTGCTCTGTCCAAGCGCGGCCCGCCCGACAGCGAGCCGACCGACATCGAAATGAGCGACCACAACCGCGTGTCGTCTTCGAGCCCAGAATCGCTCTCGGCCTCTTCTGCTGTTTGATGTGTTTGTGAGTAAACGGCTAGTTGGCGTCAGAGCGCATGCGCGCAAGCTCGTCGTGGCTCGAGCTGCAGCCCGAGAGCGGGTCTCTGGAAGTGGCCACACAAGGGTGGTCAACAAGCGCGGATGGGAGCCGCTCAAAGCCGAGACGAGGCGCAAGAGGAACGCCGGTGCCTGGTTGCCATCAGCCCGTGCTGCGTCCTCGATGATGGTGTTCGGCGGCTTACCGGAGGCATCAACCCGCCAGCGGTCGGCGCCGGCGGCAAGGACGAGCGTGATGGACGAAAGCACGCCGGTGGTAACTGCAACATGCACCTGAGATCTCGCCGCCGCCGGCAACGATGGCCGTCATGCCGTCGAGGGTGAGCGGACGACCTGCCGGCGCGGCGCGGAGACAGGCAAAGAGCGTGACTGTCGCCTGTGTCGGGCTCTCCATGCTGTGCCTCCTTGGGGCGATCGGTTCGGGGCGTGACATGCGACCTGTGGCGTCGACGGCAAAGGACATTGGCGGCGCAAGAGCCGACGAGCAGAGGAGGCCGACGTCGTGCGAGGCCGTGTCGGCGAGGATGTGGACAAGGCTCTGGCTGGTCTTGGATCGCAAGTCCCGAGATCGAGCCGAAAAGGGATAAGAGCGGGCTCGCCGCCACCAGCCGGGCGATGCCGGCGCCGCTGACGTGACTCGGCACGTGGCGAGCCGCTGTTTGTTTCTTTTGTTTCGCGCACCGCACCCACTGCCCCAAACCCATCCTCTTAAGGCCCTTGCCCCAGCCATCTGACAGCCTCGTAGGGCGCACCACTTTTGTCTGGTGCATCGCTGAAGGTGGCGCAAAGGTGTGGAGGAGCCATGTGTGGGGAGGATTGGCTGCTGTGTTAGGCAGATAAGACCCTAGAAAATTGGCTCGCCAAGAGTCTGTGGAGAGCACTATCAGACACGGATGGTCAGCTGGAGGACTCCACCGCGGAACGTCGAGGTTGTGTCGAATGCGCAGGCGCAAAAAGATGCGCCGCGAAGAAGAGGTGCTTGTTGTCAAATCGGCCTGGGAGAAGTAAAAGGCCTCCCTTACATCCAGGAGCCATGCCCGGCTTGTGATGGGGGGGGGGGGGGCGGGGGGGCTGCGGGTG